AGAGTTTTGAACGCTGTCTCCGTGTAAAACATTCTTCGCCGACTCCGTCCACACCTTTGGGAACCCCTGGACCGCTGGGGCTGGACCCCAGCAGAGAATGAGAGAAAAATTATTTTTCAATTGTGCCTATATAGAAGAGTAACATAAATAATAATTTCAAATCTATCAGTTTTCCTGTTAGAGATCACAATGGAAGCTTACCTAGGTGAAAATCCAGGGATAGGGAGAATAGAGATTTAAAAACCATAAAATCACCTTGTATTTTATACTTACAATGGATATGTGGAGAAATTTTATGACATAAGCTATAAAAGGTTAGCTTTGCAAGCAATCTTCTGCTACAGTTGGTGCTGCCGTCTCACTAAAGAAATGGATGCTATGTAGGCACAAACAAGACTTTCAAACAGGCCAGTGATGACTGCTGTGAAAGTGTGACCTAGAGAAAAATACACCCTCCCAAATGAGCATCAGAGGCATTGAATATTGGTGGAAGGTGGTTAACTGATACAAAATAATTCATTTACTCTTTCTCAGAATGCTGTTTCTCTATGTCATGGTTTTCCACCAATCACTGGTACACTCAGAAAAATAAACGTTCAGTGAGCAACATTTTCATAAAGGCAAATTCCTTTTTATATGTCTTTATGACTTTCATGTTTATTTAGATGTCTTTTTTGTGAACACTGGTGATGAATGTTTTGTTTTGTTGTTGTTTTTTATTGTACTTACCTTAGCAAAAATGAAAGTAAGAAACTCCATGTTGGTTGCCAAAGTTGTTTTGGAAATTTGACAGTCTAAAAACTCTCTCCCAAATTGATTCCATAATGAAGCCTGGCTGGCATGGCTCCGTGGTTGAGTGTTGACCAATGAACTAAGAGGTCATGGTTGATTCCTGGTCCGTGTACATGCCTGGGTTGCGGGCTCAATCCCCAGTAAGGAGCATGCAGGAGGCAAGTGATCAATGATTCTCATTGTTTCTCTCCTCCCTCTCTCAAATCAAAAATATATTTCTAAAAAATTCTATAATGCAAAAAAATAAATAAAATAACATGTCTACAAACTCATTCTTCCTATATAGGTACTGGACATGAAACTGAACACGTGGAAAACTACTGATAGGTAGAGAACAGGAATTCTCCCGTTTTCAGCCTCCCAAAGCATCTCAAGTTCTCTCAAGGAATGTATAATAAAATTAATTGATAAAATATAAAGTTACAGTTTCGGGTGATGAAAAAGTTTGGGGGGTGAATGGTAGTGATGCCTGCACAAAACTGTACACTTAAAAATGGTTAAAATGGTAAATTTTGTTATGGAGATTTTACCATAATAATAAAAAGAACACGCAATGTGGCACAGGCGACTGTGACTTCTGAGTATTCATACTTCCTTTTGAATTATTTCTGTATGTACATGTACCTATACAAACACCTATTTAGCATTCCAATATGATTTCCTGAGAAAGGGGTAAAATTATAGCTGGCATGCAGGGAGTTCTATGTTTGTCACCACATTGAATTGTGTTTTTTAGTTCCCTTTTAATAATACACTGAATAATTACTTGTGATCATCTCATATCAAAATGTGACACACCAATGATTCTTTCACTGAAGTTGCAAGTGCTGCATGAGAGAACATCCAAAAAAATGATGTATAAGGGTGCCTTTATAAAGCCCACCCTGTTTGTAAAGCCATGTGCTGTACCTTTAAGTATTGCTGCTTTTCATTTTGTCATTTACCGGACTGGAAATATAGAATCTGAGTGGAGAAGAAGTTGAATAAGAGGGTGTTAAAGATAGGTTTAAAGCACTTTACCAATAACCATATGTACACTGAGAGTTCATGGAAATGTCTGTTTTCTCTAACTAGGAGACAACCCGGAAGTCAGCTTTTGGAGTATTTCTTCTTATAGCATGATCAACACTTGGTTTTATATTTCATTATTTGTGTATCTCTTTTCTTTCCTTCCTAGACTGCAATATTCTGAAGGGCATGGGTTGTGCCTTATCGCTTTTAGGGTCCCTCATTTCCCCAGTGCCTAAGGTTTAAATTCTGAATGACTAGGGTGCAGTTCCAACAAGTGGGTGCTAATGCTCTTCCTCTGTAGAGCACTGCTAAGATTCTGCTTTTTGGAGCATTCTTGGTGTTTGCTGATGTCCAAGCATGGTTATCCAGCCTTAAAATCGTATGACATCTTTACAATAAACTCCCCTTTGTTTAAGTTAGCGGAAATTGCTTACAAGTGAACTCTGACAAGATGAAATAAAGGCAGCCTGCTAATTTCACAGTTTTTGCAGTCTTTCCTGGTATCTAACCATTTGAATCCTTTTCAGCTCATATCACAAAAGTACTAAGAATCATTCAAGCTTTAGTTCTAGAGACCCCAAGCACTAAGTTCTTTTTTTTTTTAAATTATATTTTATTGATTTTATACAGAGAGGAGGGGAGAGGGACAGAGAGTTAGAAACATCGATGGGAGAGAAACATCGATCAGCTGCCTCTTGCACGCCCCCTACTGGGGATGTGCCCGCAACCAAGGTACCTGCCCTTGACCGGAATCGAACCTGGGACCCTTGAGTCCGCAGGCCGACACTCTATCCACTGAGCCAAACCAGTCAGGGCCACTAAGTTCTTATTTATACTAATTGTTCTTAGAACAATCTTTGAAGGAAAAATATATGAAGGAAATTCTTTTATGGACTTAACATTTAATTTTTAATAGGCTACTGAATTGCAACAAACGTGGAAATACTAGCTAAGACAGCCATAGCTGAAACAAAGCCAAGTGAGATCCAATAATTATGGTTGATGCTAAGTTGGATGAGTCTCTGTGTTGAAATAAGAGATAAATGTTTTACAGGATTGTAGTAAGGCATATGTGTGAAAAAAAGGAGAGAAGCAATTATTACTTTTTTTGGCATTTGTCAGGCTTCAGTTGGAACAAACTATATTTAATCTTACATGCCATCCTATATAAAGAGAAATAACTTGGAGAATGTTCAGAGAAGAGCAGTTGATTAAAGGCCTATGAAACTAGTCCTATGAGACACTATTACAAGAACTGGGCATGTTCAGTCAAATGCAAGACATTCAGGTAGATGAACAATTAACTACAAGTATGTGAAGAGATGGTTCCCAAGTCTGAGGTTTAAATTAAATAGAAAGTTAAATCATGGGAGATTAAGAGCACAAAACAAAACAAAAAAACTCAGAGCAACGGAAGTAGAAACTAAGTATTGTGAAAACAAACTAAAAGGCTTTTAACAAATTGATAAATGGAGCGGTCTATTCCTGGAATTCTGCATATGATTATTAAAATAAATTCAGTTTTGTACTTAAATAGAAATAACTTAGGAAATAGAAAAAGCATTTGATGGATTGCATTTAAAAAGTGAAAATCGCCGAACCGGTTTGGCTCAGTGGATAGAGCGTTGGCTTGCGGACTCAAGGGGCCAGGGTTCGATTCCAGTCAAGGGCATGTACCCTGGTTGCGGGCACATTCCCAGTGGGGGGTGTGCAGGAGGCAGCTGATCGATCTCTCTCATCGATGTTTCTAACTCTCTATCCCTCTCCCTTCTTCTCTGTAAAAAATCAATAAAATATATTTTTTTTAAAATGAAAATCAGATTAAGTATGAAGAATGTTTTAAAGAAAAAAGTATGTATTTGTGGGCCTTCTTTGGAACCCAGGTTAGTGAGAACAGAAAGGAGCTCTGATACTGTCTCTGTCTCCTGAATAAGGGTAATTCCTCTGTGTGTGAGAGGGGAGGCAGCATGGTGAGCAGCTTTTCTGGCCTCTTGGGATTCATCAGGAATCCCTACCATGAGATACAAGATTCTTTCCAGAACTGTCCTAAACTACTAAGTATTACATCCTCCTTTTCCAAGGAACATAATTACCTCTCTGAAGTATATTCTTTGGGCAAAGTAGACAAACATTTATTCTCTAGTTTGCACTTTTTAGTTGTTGTTAATCCTCACCTGAGGATATTTTTCCATTGATTTTTAAAAATATATATTTTATTGATTTTTTTTACAGAGAGGAAGAGAGATAGTTATAAACATCATCAGCTGTCTCCTGCACGCCCCCTCTGGGGGATGTGCTCGCAACCAAGGTACATGCCCTTGACCAGAATCGAACCTGGAACCATTCAGTCCCCAGGCGGACGCTCTATCCACTGAGCCAAACCAGTTAGGGCTCCATTGATTTTTTTTTTAGAGTGGAAGGGAGGGAGAGAAACATCGATGTGAGAGACGCATTTGCACGCTGGGGATCAAACCTGCAACCCAAGTATGTGCTCTTGACTGGGACTTGAACCTACAAGCCTTTGGTATTCCAGCCAACGCTCTAACCACTGAACTACCGACCAGTGCTCTAGTTTATACTCTGTTTCTTTGTTATGGGATGGGGCCACAACATTAGTAACAAAGAAACAGAATTTCCGGAAGATGAGGCCCAGAAATCAGGATTTTTTTATTTTTTTAAAAATATATTTTATTGATTTTTTACAGAGAAGAAGGGAGAGGGATAGAGAGTTAGAAACATTGATGAGTAAGAAACATCGACCAGCTGCCTCTTGTACACTCCCAACTGGGGATGTGCCCGCAACCGTCCAGTTTAAGAACCCATTGTGGCCCTCGAGTCAAAAAGTTTGCCCACCCCTGCCACTGAGCCAAACCGGTCAGGGCCAGAAATCAAGATTTTAAAAAGATTCCCGGGTGATTCTAATGTGCAGCCAAGGTTGAGAACCACTGTTCTAGAGACAAAGAAACTTGTTTTAAATTTACTAAAAAGATATGGAAAGAGCCAAAGATGGATATAGGAGACACTGTTTTCAATGTCATGACATGAACATTTTAAATTTCAGCAAATCTATATAAACACACCTGTGTTATATTTTCCACTAGCAAAAAAATGGTCAGGGCATTCGTGTTCACAAAAGATGTTACACAGCACCTGATTTGGAAGTGAACCCTGTAAACAATCACATACATTTGGTTCTATTCGCTCCTCTACTGGGTGCAGTTTGAGGCTAATGTGTCCTGCAGGCACACACAGTGCACAGAGGTCAGGCTGTCACTTGTCCTATAGTTCAAGCCAATATCAGATAACAGCAGCCTTTAAAAATATACAGAATAAAATCATCTCATTCATATGGCATAGCAAAGAATTGAGGCTCAACCACGTGCTTGTTCAACTGCTTGAGCAGATTCAAAGTTTTTGAGAAAAATGCAAGGCCAAATAATAACCCGGTCTTGTGGCACTTCTCGTCTAATTTCATAGCAAAGTGGAATGGAATTTATCTGATTAAAAATATTACTGAACTGTAAATTTAAAAAAAAGATGTTTTAAATATCAATATTTACAAGAAGAAATTACATTCGCAGTAAATATTTAAATTCATGATAAAACATTTAGGATGCCAATTTAAAATTACGAAAGGTGCATAGTGTTTCAAATTCTCTTGGAGAGACACAAATTTTTAAAAAATATATTTTTTATTGATTTCAGAGAGGAAGGGAGAGGAGGGAGAAAGATACGTCGATGATGAGAACCATCCATCGGCTGCTTCCTATATGCCCCACAGTGGGGATCGAGCCCGCAACCCTGGCATGTGCCCCAACCAGGAATCAAACCATGACCTTCTGGTTCATAGGTTGACACTCAACCACTGAGCCACACCAGCTGGGCGAGACACAAATTTTTTGAGGATCACTGCTCTAACCTATGAATACTGTAATTCTAACCATTTCTGCCTCTGCTGGGGACTTTGAGCCCTTAAAGCAGGTGTGGGGAACATCCAGCAAAGGGGCCATATGAGGTTCTCAAAAATCATTTGGTCTGGCCTTGCCAAGACATTAGGGGTAAGTTAAGTAAATGGTTGACCAAATATACCAGGCTAATTTTTTTTTAAGCAGGCTAATCTTTAAGTTGATAATTTTGTATGGTCCACGGATGATGTTATAAATATCCAAATGGCCCTTGGCAGAAAAGACGTTCCCCACCCCTGCTTCAGATGGAAGAGATAATTGATGGGGAAGGTGAGACCGGGAGGCTGGGCAGAATCAGACCAGAGATGAGTATCTCTGCTTGTGATGTAGCCACAGGATTATCCTCTCCTGGTGGCTAGGTCTGGTGCTGCTCTGTCCTTTATTACAACACACCTCAAGGTCAACAGAGGATGAGGGAATTTATGAAGCTCCATGGCCTTCCATTTCCAACTGAATCACACCCACATGACTAGAGCAGCTCAGTTCTGCATCATGACTGAGAAAGACAGAACCTCCTGGGGACATCTTTACTTTCTCCCTTTTCCCTTCTCCACTGCCTTTAAGCTTATTAGAGCATCCATGGGCAGTGCTACGTTCTGCTGATTTCACTCACATTTAAATTGAGTGTTGAGTACTAAGGAAAGAAATTGCTAAATTGTTCCTCTACAGCTGGGGAATCTGGTGGAAGGAGATCTTCCCACCCTTGGAAGCTGCACATACATTTTCTCCTGAGATGGATGTGGGGGAACCCGGGATTAGCTTTGCAGCAAAGATTCTGAGCTTCTGTTATTTCACTCTCTCATTCTGAGAGACAATCTCAAACACTAATGCAACACAAATTCTGGCAGAGAGCCTATTTTTATTTTTGGAGGGGTTTCTTACACCTTGTTGATTTTAACCACCACCATTAAACCACCATTCCACATTAGTGTCTGAGTAAGTCCCTATGGAGTTGGCCATTTCTCAGCAGCCAGGACTTAGATGCAGCAGATTGTCTGAGGTCTCTGAAGCTTGCTCTGCAGATACTGTTTGCAGGGATCTCATCTTCAAGTGGTGTCTTTTTATAGGGTACGCTGGGCATGGCCTGGCTGCTTATGGCTCAGTCTACCGTAATGGCTGAAATTTGTTGGCCCTTCTCCCTCTCTTCCGCCTTCTTGAAGTAGTTTTAACTTTAGGAGGGTATTTTTTTCTTGAGGTCATGTGAAATGGTCTTTTTATCTTCTTGTATATCTTCAGAACCTGGTAAGGCAACAAGGTCAGCCTAGAGGGGTTTGGTTTGGAAAAAGAAAAGGGGGAAGGCAGGGAGGGGGGAACTAAGGAGGAGGTTTGTGCCAGGCAGAGGCAGGATTCTCTGGGAAGGGTGGCAGGTAGAGGATATAAATGGGGAAAAAAAGAGGAAATTGGGTAGGGTCATCTGACCTTGTTATTACGTCTTGATTTAGGTTGAGAGCGGGTCTTCTTCTTCTTCCACCGCTTGGTGCTTGTGGATTGTTGCTCCCATGATTTCTTGGTCACTTTTGCCATGTTTAAGCTCTCAACTGTTTACCCCAAGGGTCCAGTCGTCTGTATATATACCCCTCCACAGGGCAATGAGGAGTCACACCCCTTCAGCTTTGTTTTGTCATCAGGGCACTTCCCACAGCCAATGGTGGCTAAGGGGAGCTCAGACATCACAAAGGATCACTCCCGAGGGGGTAGGGGATGCTAGGGAGGCCCAGATGCTCTGATTGGAAAAAAGTACCCACTAAAGAGCCTTCCCATACTGACCTTCCACCCTTCTTCCTCTCCCCATGATCAATTCTAATTATGCACATGGCAGAGAGGGTTGTTTGCTCCAAGCCATTCCCCATGGTTCAATCTTATCCCTACCATTCACTGTTACCTAATATTATGGCTATCTTACCTAACATCAGCAAGATACAGGTATGGCAGCCTGATCTGAAAAACCTAGGAATGAGAGAATTGGGGAAAGTGTTTGAGGCATGGTGCCCTTATTGTAAGTTCAGACAAGAAGGCTTTGAAATATAACTCAGGGCAAGGTGGGCATGTACTAGTATGTGTGTATGTGTACTAGGGTTACTCATTCACAAGAAATAGGATTAAAGATATGAAATAAGATAAAATTTAGGTATATATATGTTTATAGATATCATATCTCAATATCTTTTGGGGATCACATAGGAATTTTTGGAAGAAAATTCCAAAGTGACAAATTTTAACTTCAAATTTTGGAGACAGAAGACAAGCAGAGATCAGAAGTAGAAGCTCATTTCCAGATGAGAGCTCACTTTTCTCCCCAGCTGTACCTGTCCCTCTACAAACAGTGATAAAGACAAACCTATGGAAACAGAAAGTAGATTAATGATTGACCTGGGCTGGCAGAAGACAAGGGGAAATAGAGACTGCTAATGGATATGTGGTTTCTTTCTGGGGTGATGAAAATGTTCTTAAAATTAGATTGTGGTGATGTTGCGCAACTTCGTAAATATACTAAAAACCACTGCATTATTAAAAAAAAAAATTACTGGAGCCTGGCTGGTGTGGCTCAGTTGATTGAGGATTGTCCCATGAATCAGGAGGTCATGGTTTGATTCCTCATCAGAGCACATGCTAGATTGTGGCGCGATCCCCAGGAGGTGTGCAGGAGGCCGCAGATTGATGTTTCTCTTTCATCGATGCTTCTATCTCTCCTCCCTTTCCTTTCCTCTCTCTGAAACCAATAAAAACATATTTTAAAAAAAATAACTGAAAACATTACTGGAGTATGATTCCGTTATATTTAAAATATGATTGTAACTACAAAGAGAGCAGAAACCAGGCAAGGCTAAAATTGTAGACCTCAAATGGAAGCCTGAGGCTATAAAATTTGTAAGACACAAGAAGTGATCAAATGAACTAACCTAGTGATGGTGAACCTATGACACGCGTGTCAGAGGTGACACATGAACTCATTTTTTTGGTTGATTTTTGTTAAATGTCATTTAAATATATAAAATAAATATCAAAAATATAAGTCTTTGTTTTACTATGGTTGCAAATATCAAAAAATCTGTATTTGACACAGCACCAGAGTTAAGTTAGGGTTTTTCAAAATGCTGACACGCCAAGCTCAAAAGGTTCACCATTGATTTTTTTTTAGAGAGTGGAAGGGAGGAGAGACAGATTGGTTTATCAGACTACAGGTTTGTTTGACTTGCACAGTTTCTTAAGAAACTTCACATTAAAAAAATCTAGATATTTAGCAAGTAGAAGATGGAAGACTGGAGGCAGACAGACCCAGTTAGGAAGGAAATCATTGACATAATCCAAGTTGACCTGAGGCCTGAAGGCAAGCTGCAGTGGTAATGGAGAAGAGAAACTGACTAGAAATAGTGAGTGACTAAATGTGGAGATGAAGGAAAAAGGGAAGTCAAGAGAGTCCCAGATTTGTTGCTTGAATTGATAATGTAGATACACAATGCAGGAAAGTGATACATGGGAGGATGGGAATGGGTGCTATAAAGTCTGAGGTGTCTGTGATGACGTCCACCTGGCAACTGGACAAGAGTCAGGAATCAGGCAGACGGTCAAGGCAGGAGAGAAAGACGGGAACTGCCAGCATTTATATATCAGAAGACGATATGATGTATAATGTCACACAGAAGTATGCAGAGTACAAAAAAGAGCAGTGACAGAGCCCTAAGAATCCCCAATAGTTACATGGAGAGATGCTAATCAGCCTGGAGCAGGCAGAGGTACTGACCTGAGGGTGGGGTTTAGCAGCACAGAGATGAAGAGAATTAGAATGTGAGGAATTGAGGTGCTGGCAAATGTTTAGTATAAATTATGTACCACGGTAGGCTTCTCTAAGGAAGTGAGCCTTGGCTTGCACCGATATCCAAAGGATGTGAGGTCTCACAAGCACCTCATGCTCATCAGGACATGCCAAAGAGTATCCCAAACTTGTCATTCTTCCTGTGTTTCCATGCTCAGTAAATGGTATCACTGTCCATCAAGTCATGCAAGTTACAAATATAGGAGTTATTCATGATATCTGCTTCTGTTATGGCCATTACATAATTGCTTGTTATCCAAACCATCGTAAAACAGTAGGTAAAGAAAAAAGCATTCCAGGCAGAGGGAACAATATATACAATAGTTCTATGTTGAAAGATAGCATGGCCCTGACTGGTTTGGCTCAGTGGATGGAGCGTCGGCCTACGGACTGAGGAGTCCCGGGTTTGATTCCGGTCAAGGGCATGTACCTTGGTTGTGGGCACATCCCCAGTAGGGGGTGTGCAGGATGCAGCTGATCAATCTTTCTCTCTCATTGATGTTTCTAACTCTCTATCCCTCTCCCTTCCTCTCTGTAAAAAAAATCAATAAAAATATATTAAGAAAAAAAAGAAAGATAGCATGGTGCAATCTGCTAATTAAAGACCTTTTCCCTCTGTTTCCTCTAATTTTTCTTTCTCTTTTTTCATTCTTTTATTATCATCTTTATTTTAAACACCCCCCCCCCATATTTTTAAAAATATATATCTTTATTGATTTCAGAGAGGAAGGGAGAGGGAGAGAGAGATAGAAAGATCAGTGATGAGAGAGAATCATTGATTGGCTGCCTCCTGCACGCCCCACACTGGGGATCGAGCCTTCAACCCAGGCATGTGCCCTTGGCCAGAATTAAACCCGGGACCCTTCAGTCCGAAGGCTGACGCTCTACTCACTGAGCCAAACCAGCTAGGGCTAAAGACCCTTTCTTTTGACATGGAAGAGGAAGGGGCTAGATCATGATGGGTCTTATAGTCATATTAAGAACTTTGCCCTTTAACCTAAGAGCAATGAAAACCATTGACAGGTTTGAAGCAGGGAAAAGTGATATGAACAGATTTAGGTTTTGAAAAGGGCATGCTGGCCCTAGCTGGTTTGGCTCAATGGATAGAGCGCTGGCTTATGGACTGAAGGGTTCCAGGTTCAATTCCAGTCAAGGGCACATGCCCGGGTTGCACACTTGATCCCCAATAGGTGGTGTGCAGGAGGCAGCCGATCAATGATTCTCTCTCATCATGGATGTTTCTCTCTCTTTCTTCCTCTCTGAAATCAATAAAAATGTTAAAAAAAGAGCATTCTGGGTAGAATAGAGAACAGATTTGAGAAAATTAGAATACCTATAATGAGACCAGAAAAGGCTAGTATAGTCTTTCAGGTGAGAGGAGGTAGTACTTGGAATAGAGTGGCAACAGTACACATGAAGAGAAGTGGGTGGTTTTAGTGCTAGCAGAGATGAAGCCAGTAGGAATTGGTGATGGTGGGAATTATCTCCTAGTTCAATGTTGTTAGTAATGACCTAGTTCAGTGATGGCGAACCTTTTGAGATCGGCGTGTCAGCATTTTGAAAAACTCTAACTTAACTCTGGTGCCGTGTCACATATAGAAATTTTTTGATATTTGCAAACATAGTAAAACAAAGACTTATATTTTTGATATTTATTTTATATATTTAAATGCCATTTAACAAAGAAAAATCAACCAAAAAAATGAGTGTCACGTGTGACACAGGTGACACGCATGTCATAGGTTCGCCATCACTGATCTAGTTGAAAGGGAATGGCTGAATACCTGGGAGAGAAGGGATAACTGGGTATGTTTTATAATAGTGCTGCTGTTAGACCTGGGTAAGGACCCTCTTTCTACTGCAAAGGGCAAGATGTCTATGAAATCAAGAAGTCATGCTTGCCGGAAGCCTGCACTCCTCTTTTTTATAATATATTTTCATTGATTTCAGAGAAGAAGGAAGAGCGAGAGAGAGATAGAAACATAAATGATGAGAATCACTGATCAGCTGGTTGCCTCCTGCACACGCCCTACTGGGGATCAAGCCCACATCCTGGGCATGTGGCATGTGCCCTTGACCGGAATTGAATCCAGGACCCTGCACTCCTCTTTTAGATTGACTAGATCTGAGGGCAGACCTAGTTCTTGATTACACATCACTATTTGCAGGGGTTGAGGAGTGTGGACATAAGCTTGGACATGTTGATTGCATTAATTTATGGCCCCTTTTGGTGTGGCAGGTGAAGAAGCTAGGAATGGGAAGAGAATAGGGTCAGTCCATCTCTCCAAGTCTGAAAATTTGACCTTCAGGATTATTATTTAAGCAGATTTGTCAAGGTAGCAAAGTAGAATCCTATCTAATAGACAAACATGGTAATTGACCATACCTTTGCTATGCCTCACATTGGCTAATCAGTGTGATATGCAAATTAACTGCCAACAAAGATGGCGGCTAATTTGCATACCACAGGCAGGGCGGGCCAGTGGCGATTGGCCAGCCCGCCCAGCCTCCATCGGGCATCCCGTGTGCGACCTGACCCTGGGCAGTGCTCCAACCACCCCCAACACATCGCCCCTGCCATGTGCACGACCCGGGGAGGTGGGGCAGGCACCGAGGGATCGGGCCTGCCCTCTGCCACCCGGGGAGCAGGCCTAAGCCAGCAGGTGGTTATCTCCCGAGGGGTCCCAGACTGTGAGAGGGCACATGTGGGGCTGAGGGACACCCCCCCTTCCCCCGCCAGTGCACAAATTTTTGTGCACCGGGCCTCTAGTATATTTTATAAAAATAGCTTCTCAGCTTGATTTATAACTTAAATACTTGGACATATGGTATGTGAGCCGCCATAGCCATTCCTGCCCAGGCTCTGCAAATTTAAAACAGTATAGAGCAAGGAGTAACACATTCACACAGATGAAGAGTTCACTTTAACTGAAACCTTATACAGTCAGATTTCCAGACGTCTGTGCGGGAGATGAGGGAGTAAATGGTACAAGTCTACAGGCACTATATTAATGGGTGTAAGAGACACTCTTCTCCATCTGGAGGGTCAACATTAAGAACCTATTTTAGTTGTAATGGTTTCAGTGTGATTTTGAAAAGTTTCTTGAATACGGAAGGCAGAAGCGTCAAGTTCAAAGGGGCCTTAGTGATCATGCAATCACATTTGTTCACTTTTTATAAAATAGGGGTTCTGGCCGATGAAGCAGCCTGACTGCAGGCACAAAGCTAGTGAGCGGTAGGTGGTTTCCAGCTCTGCCCTCTGCCCACGCTCCCACCGGTGCTACTTTCCATGAAGACATCTGCCGCCAGGCAATCCCAGCTACAGCTTTCACTGTTATGTATTAATTAATGCAAGCAAATCCTTTCATTTCAAAATCTGGAGGCACCTAAAAAAACAAATTCTATAAACCAGTATTAAATTTTGACTCCAAAATATTCTAAAAAAAAGAAAGAAAGAAAAAACAAAAAGGTGGGTGGGGGGGGGCTCAAAAATCCAACTTCATTAAGTCACAAGTACTGGCAATCCTGGACAGTGACTTTTAACTGTTTTCCAGAAATCTGCAGGCAATGTACGTCTCCCTTCTTAGGACTAAAAATAGCCTTCGCCTGGTCATTTCCTGGTTTGACTATTTTATTTTTTACAGTCTATTCCTTTGACTTCTCGTCTCATGTGTCGAGACCGTAGCGCTCAACGAAAATCGTGGTCCTGGTTTTGGTGCAACCGTACTGCTGCAAACCCATCCCCCCAAACTCCTTACCTTCTAAACCAGAAACCAAAGCACACACTTGGGACACCCAGGCTGCCGACTACACGCTAAAATACAACGCAAGAAAAACCTTGCTTCCCAAACATCTCTAAATACTGCTAACGGGTTTTTCTTGGTGGGTCTGTGTTAAAATAATGATGATAAAATTAAAATCTTCAAGGGTGCAATCACAAAAGTGAGAGGAACGTTTTTCCACGGAGCCTCTTACCTTCCAGCTCAGAAGCAATCCGCAAGTTCCAGGCTCGCAGGAAGTGATTTCCCTCAAACCTTGAAGAGAGGACGATTTTAACAACAGTAACAAACCTTTTCAAGACACCCAGTGACTTTGAGCCCCTCCCATCAATCCACTACGGCCAACACGGAGGAGCGACTTCATCCCCGGAAAAAAAAGCTCTCCTTTGAGCGGGGCATCTGCGAAATCCAGCTTTCTGGGCGCGAAGAGACCCCGAGGACCCGAGGGAAATAGGAAGAGAAAGTGCTGTGACCAAGTCGTCGAGGTGGAGACCGGCGCGACCAGGGCCGGGGCACGCTGTGGGCTCCGGAGCGGCGGCTCTTCCCGGACACTCGCTGAGCCGCGGAGTTCGCGCCGGCGACAGTGGGAGGAAGCCCCCGCGCAGCTCCCGGGGCCGCGAGACGCGTCCCGCGGAGCGGTGACCTCCAGAGCGGGTCCCC